AAATATAGTCTAGATTTATTTAAATGAAAGCAAATCAACGTAAATCAAATAGTACTTACTTACTTATCTTCACGCACAATCCCTAACGGGGTAGCCAGAGAGAACAGATCGCCAAGTGTCACGATCCTTACATACCTCTTTCGCTTCTTTCAGGTTCATTAACTTCTTCATACATGCACGTCTAGGTATCCGAGTACTCTTGACCTTCCCCTCTTCGAGAAATTTGCTCACATGGTCTTCGAAAGTTAGCCTCGGTCTACCTCGACACCTTTTAATATTTACTTTCGCTCTATATATTTTCTTCACCATTCGGTCTTCACTCATTCGCTCAACGTGCCCAAACCATTGGAGTACGCCCCTATCAATTTTTGTGATAAGGTCATCTTTCAATCCTGCCATATTGCGAATCTCTTCGTTTCGCTTTCGATCGGCTATGGTAACGCCACACATTTTACGAAGAGATCGCATCTCCACTGCATTCAACTTGCTTTTATGCTTCTTCTGGCATACCCAGGTTTCGCTGCCATATAACAAAGTCGGTACCAACACTGCTTTATGTATTGCAAGGCGTGCACTCTTCACCACGCCTTGCCTTTTGACTAATGCATTCAGGGCACCATTGACTTTGTTTCCGGCAGCGACGCGCTTATCCACATCTAAATCACATCTTCCATCCCGGCTGAAAGCACTCCCCAAGTATACAATTTCATTTACCTGTTCTAGACGTTCCTGATTTACCCATATTTCACATTTCGTTCTCTCTTCGTCCTTTTCAAATACCAGTAAATCAAATAGTAATTTTTAGATTTGCGATTGAGCTTAAAAATGGCATAGCGGGCGAAATATGCAACATTAGCAAAATTGGACGGTTTGACGGTATATCGCCAATTTGGTCGATAAACCAAACTTTCGTCTAGGACGTCCCTTTCCGACTCTGACTTTCATTTCTGCAACATAAATTTGCTTTGCTACTCTTTTCTCATTCATTCTTTCCACATGACCAAACAACCGAAGCATTCCTTTCTTAATCCTGGTCACAACATCATCTTGCAAACCACACTCTTCTCTTACCAACTCCTGTCATTCAGATTCAGCCCTAACATAATCCTTAACGACCGCATTTCTACTGCTATTCTACTCTCGTGCTTCTTCTGCCACATCCAACTTTCACTACCATACGTTGAAGTAGGGACCAACACAGCATCATGAATTGTCATATGTGCCTTTTTTGACACATTCTGACTTTTCACAATAGAGTGTATGGGGCTCCCATTTACTAAATCGTTATTTATTTTTTATTAATCTAGTTCCTGTTTTACATATATATTAAATAACTACCTTTTTTATGAAACTCGTTTAAAGTTCATGAATATCGAGAACCAAAAATGATTTTCATTTTTTATCTCAAAAATTTGATAAATCAGCTAAATAGAAGCTTTAGCTTACTTGCATAAATAGTGTTCTGTGCTACCATTCTTATTGCTTATTTCTTAAATCAATAGATTGCACTAGAACTTTTCAATCCTAACAATGTTGGCTTAATGTAAAAATTATCTAACATTGACCTACTTTAAATTATAATATTTTGTAGATTATCAAAAACGATCTCTTTGATCTTACGTTTTAAACAATTTTTCCGGATAATTGTTGAATGAAATAAAGTACAAAAATACAATTGGTATATTGAAATAATTGGTCCCTGGGACTTGAACAAAAGGATGTACCGCGTTACTTGCCTATCATGTCGAAAACGGTGTCTAATAGAATATTGGCTGTTTAATTGTGAAGATGTTGCCACTATCACTTCCATCACAATTTTCTATCTGAACCTATATTTTATTTGGCTAAACGTGGTCTGAGTAGCTTGCTGCTTTTTGAACTCTGTCTTACCCCTCAGAGATTACGGGCGTGACGCAATTAAATAATGCTTTTAAAAGCATTCATGACCATCTCAAATTTTTCCAATTTCTCCTCCAACATTTAGAAATTTCAAATCTTGAATTTAACATCTGTATTTCGGCATCTAATTGCATTGTTCCTGAATTAAATTCATATTAGTCAAACGGTCGCTGAGTAAAATGCAACACAGCGACGTAATTTTAGTAGTTTTCCATTTCCACACTTAATTTCTTAATTTTAAGAATTTATTTATATACGGATTATTGATTTCCTTCAAAATTTTTCCTAAGTTATATGTTTGCTTGGTAAATAAGAAAATATTATTTAAGAAGATGTACATACAAACACACGAGTATTTAAACAATCACGCTTACGCCTGTAACTTAGAGGGCTCGTCAGACACTACCAACTTCCACTTGGCACGAGCCTTACATACCTTTTTTACGTGGTAGAGCCATGCTGCAGCTATATTAGTAGTACTGTTGTAGCATGAATGGGTCGGTTCGACTGAGGAGAGACCACGCTCTAACAGAACACCAGCGTAAAATCGCAGCTCAATGCTGCTGTGTTTCGTATGGTGAGTGTAGAGAACCGGAGAGATACTGGAAACGAGGCAATCCATCTTAGTCCCCACGAGTGACAACGCATCTGCATTTTGATTCATAATCAAGGATAGATGTAGATGTCTATGGGCCGCAGCAACCACTCATCAGGTGGACTGTGTGCTCCTTTGTCATCGTTGTCCCATAAAAAAAACACCATTCTCTCTCCTTTTTCACATCCATCTATATACGCATACACGGTCGTCGTTTAAAGGTAGGACCGCACTAGGTGGAACTGCACCGCAGCGGAACTGAGCGACACGAGTTGGTCAGTTGATCAACTTTGCTGCACAGTTCTGCTGCAGTGTAGTTTCATTGCCGCTTAGTGCGTGTTGTCTCACATAATTTCATAGTACCTGGATGACCGAGCTTTACTAGTTTTTTTTTTGAAATCGTGTGTTTTGGAAATTATATTTAGATCCAAATTACATACTGATGAAATATGAATAATATTTTTTGATCTTAATGACATAATAGAAAAAACTGAACTGGTTATTTGTACAAAAAATCATGAGTGCAATTAGTTTAATTTAAATTTTCGTGTCTTTTTTTAAAAAAAAATAAAAAAGGAATCGAAATAATAGATTTTCTCAAAAAAGAAGGGAACTTGAAAAAAAAGGAAAATAAGTCGGACCTAATACAGGACTCGAACCAGGGTACTACGATTTCGGGCCAGTTCGATAACCCATTTGAGCTATCATAATCTTTAACATATTGGCAAAATTTACCTTCTTATTCTAACAATATTGTCAATATTGTAGCAGTTTTTCATTGCTTGAAAACATGGATAAAACGACATTTTCTAAAAATAAATCCTGGCTATATCGATTTATTGCCCTCTAAACCCCCTGGACACTAAATTTTATGAAAATCGTTGGAACCGTTTCCGAGATTATATATATATATATACAAGAATTGCTCATTTAAAGGTATGATATAGATAAAGATAAAGAATATGTTGACGCGTAGTGTCGCTCAGTTCCGGTGCGATGCAGTTCCGACTAGTGTGATGTTACCTTAAGGATACTTCCTACCTTAAGGATAATCTATTGCCCCTCTATAAATATAAATAAAAATGAAGTGACTGTTTTGTAATATTTAAATAACTTGCTTCTATTGAACTCGAGTTACTTGCATGCTAATATGACATTAATAACCATTTAAAAAATTGTCTGACTGTCTGTCCGTGCTTTAATTTGTCATGGCTGACCCATTTGTGATGAAACCTTTCGAAATGATAGAGAGCAATGACAGGAGTGACCTAGGCTCTATTTTATCAATAAAAAACTTAAAGTTATTTAAAAAATAATTGATATAAAAACGATCTCTAGGGCGCCCCTAGCCGACTCTGCCATTCATTTCTACAACATAAATTTGCTTTGTCACTCTTTCAAAACTTCCAAATTTCAGAAGCATTGCAATGGATTCCGAAGGAAGAAGGATTAATTTTATCCTAATGCTTCTTCTGACATACCCAACTTTCACTAGAAAGCATAAATTATTGTAACTTGCACAGTAATTGACTAACACGGTATTGTAAAGTACCATATATGTGCCTCTTATGACACTATCAATGGAACCACTTCTATCCACAATACAGTGAAGAGTCCCAATATTAAGAATAGACACTGAAAATCAAATAAAAAAGCTTAATGACTATTATATAAAAAAAACAATTGCATTCTTTTAATGATGCAAGTTTTGTAATATTCCAAGTCATTGCCCTTTCAAACTGGTTTTACTGAATTTGTTGATTCAAGGTCTCAGTACTAAAATTTTAAATGTTCTTTGTTGTTAAATGTTATCTCCTTTTAATCTTATTTTATCTTTCAGCGGCTGTAACTACGAAACATATATATCTATATATACGTTAAAAAGGCTTAAAAATGAAGTGGGTCTTTTTTTATTAGGCTGTATTTCTTTTTTAACGCTTGCAGCACTAGCCTTGGAAATCAAGGTTAGTTTACCGATTTAGCTCAGTTTTAACAGATATACTAGTAGTGATGTAATACATAAATTTCAACCAGATTGCTTGATTATAGAGTTCAGTTTCTGGATTTTTATCTCTCTTTTTCGTGCATTTGTTTTTCTTGACTAGGACTTTAAATAAAATTACAATTATGTTACATTCTATTTATTTTATTTAAATAAAAGCAAATCACACGCATCTTTATCACATAAAATCTTAATTTAAATTATTAAGCACTTACACGCAGTAATCGAGTTCACAATTTTTATCGTGAAAAAGATAACTGGTTCGTCAGCGATTTATAACGTTATCGATATTTAATGATATTGATTCTAGTATGCAATGAAATATACGCACTCACATTTAGATAATATAACCTTTGTTTTAATTTGTAACGAAAATTGAAATAATCACAGTAACCATGTTAGCTTTATGATTCGCATAGAAATATTTCGATTTCATTATCACTTAAACATGTCATTTAACTTTGATACATAATGCCCGTTTCGTTATACCATTATGTAAATCGACTATTTTCTATAAGAAGGGTAGTTTGCTGGTGGGTAGTAAGTCTGTTGTTGTTGTTGTGTTTGTTGCGGATAGTATGTTTGCTGATTCTGTTGTACAGGGTAATCTGATTGCTGTTGTTGTGGATAATATGTGTGTTGAGGTTGTTGAGGATAAACTGTTTGTTGAGGATTCTGAGTTTGTTGAGGGTTATAACCTTGTTGAGGGTATTGGGTTTGTGGTGGGTAGTAAACTTGCTGGGGGTTTTGAATTGGTTTATTTTGTTGAGGTTTATTTTTCTCTGCCTCAGCTTTCGCTGCTTCTTCTTTGGCGTTCTGTTCTATCGATCTGTAAGAGATAAAATAAACAATAAATAAAATAAACTTTTTTGTTTTACCTCACGTTTCTGTTGCATATGATTTCATTTACTCAACTATAAAAACGTTTAAATGTTTACAGAGGCGTTAACTACGCATATGACGGTGGATATAATTGTTTCGGATTTTGGGATTTGTGTATATGCAATTAACACATGTTTTATGATATAGAATACGGGTGACAAACGAGTACATAGTCCACCTACTATATTTATACTAAACTAAATATAACTAATAATATACTATATCTATCTCTCAATACATTACATATCTATATTAGAATAAGAAGGGATCTGTATAAGACTAAAATGAAAAGGGTCTCCATTTCATCATTAGTGCAATCACCATACGAAACTCAGTATCAATACGAGTAAGCTGCTATTTTATGTTGACAGCGTGGTACTTCCCTGGTCGATCCCATCCATTTGTGCTACAACCATAATATAGCTGTAGCGGGGCTATCATCATCATTATCATTACAGCCCTTCACAAGTCCACTACTGAACATAGGCCTCCTTCAAGGAATGCCACAATGCACGGTCCTGAGCCACCTGCATCCATCGACTTCCTGCATGTCTTACCAGGTCGTCACTCTATCTTGTGGGGGGTCGCCCTACACTACGCCTACCGGTACGACGCCATATAGCACGAAGAACCGACAACCGATGGGGAAAAAAGGTTCTTGAGTGGCAGTGGGGCTATACCAAGTACGTATATATATAAAACGAGTCAACTTTAGAAAGCTCTAGTAAATCGCGTCTTTTTTACGTTGTGAATAGTTAGTAGAAGTAGTTATAAATAACAAGTACGTTAGAATTGAAGTAAATATGCAGATTACATTTCACCTTAATCTAGTAACCAGAAATCAAGAAAACGAACAATATGTAAACGAAATATGTTTACGGCCAAAAATGTTTGTTCTCGCAGTTTTTAAATTTATATTATGATAAATATTATACTTTATAACTTCTTTAAAGTGATATTTAAGCATTATATAATGGAGTGAAACATAATACGATACTTACGCCTGAATCGCGGGTGGTATTGGATGAGGTTTTGGAAGATGATCTCCCATAGCATGGTAGCCAGTGTCGTCAGCCCAGTATGTAACGGTGTAAACTTTTCCATCATTGTCAGTGAAAGAATACCATCCTTTTTTCACAATGCTTTCGTTGTCAGTATTGTAGTTTGTAAAGTAACCTTGTTCACCGACATGAGTACCGTCCCCAATCTCATATCTGCAGAGATACCATTTTATGCTGTACTATTTACGAATTTAATGATTGAGGAAACAAATTTAATATAAAAATGGATAAAACGGGGTCATTATGTACGTAAACAGTTATATGTTGAAGTAACTGCTTTTGAAGATATGCTGCAAAATTTGGTTGTTTGTCGAGATTTTTATGGTGTAATTGAATTGCTACTAATATAACCGGATTTCTGACAGTTTACGTTAAAACTAATTTAATGAGTTAGTTACCGTTAGTAACTTAAAACCGTAAGAATATTTTGTCTATAATACTGTTAAAATTTGGACATTTATAATTTTATTCCGATACTTTGAGCCAAAATATAAAGAAATATCATAAATAATTATTAATATAACTACAACCTAACATTAAAAATAAATATAAACTTTCAAAATATAAATAGTTTTGAATTGCTTACTCATATTTGTAGCTGCCATTATCTCCAAAAGATTGTTCATTTTTTATCACCGGCACTGATGTTGTTGGTGACGTTGCTGGACTCTGTGGTTGCTGGTTGTTCCAGTTATTCCAATTGTTGTTATTGTTATTCCAGTTGTTTTGGGGAGGTACATAGTTATTTTGTGGAGGTACATAGTTATTTTGTGGAGGTACATAGTTGTTTTGTGGTTTGTTCCATGTATTTTGGGGTTTGTTCCATGTATTTTGGGGTGGATCATTTTGAATAGGTACGTAGCTCGGTGACGAAGGCACATAGTTATTGCTACCTGATGGTTGGACGGTACCTTGAGATGGATAGTAATTATTTATAGGGGATTGCGGAGTACTTTGCGACGGCACATAATTACTCGGTGAGGGGATTCCAAGGCCTTTGCGGCGTTTGACTGGGAGGTGATGAATAAAATTGAGCGTAATTGTTTGATTGTGCAGCAATTTGATCGGTATTTAACTGGTCTGTAGCTGCTGTTTCTAGATCTTCCAGTTTATTTGTTTCCAATGTGGCAGCATGGGCGAGCGCCAAAACGGCGGCAAAAGTGACCTATTATAAAAAAATCGTATTATTTTTCCAATTATTTTCATAAGATGTTATAAAAATACTGGAATTAAATGGATGGATATCTATTTGAATATAATTTTATGATCGCGGTAAGTATATTATTCATATCGGTAGAAGATATTTTTTAGAAATTACAATTAGGTTTCTAAAAATGAAGTTAGCATTTATGGCGATTTTTACTGGTATTTTCAATCAGAATAAAATTTTAGTTTTGACTCTTTTAGGCAATGGCAAATTTATGTACTGATATAATTTTTTAATATGTATTGATGCAACTTGGGAATGTTTAGGTCGGTCAGAAACACGAGTAAGTATAAAACGATATTTTAAGATGTTATGGGTGTATGTATAATAGTTCGGAACTCAGTAAATCTCTAATAAACGCCGCAAACTACATTAAATATTTGTTTAATTTTTAATTTGCAAATACTGGTGCATTTACAATATATGTATATTATTTTCTTTCTATTGTTGTTAAAAGTTATAAACCCTATTATGATATAATATTAATTACATCAACTCTACAATTGTGGCGATAAGAAGTAAAGATATTTCAAATATAAATTTCTAAGAACTAGAATTTATGAGTCAATGTTTCAATTGTTCAATGAAAAAAAAATTGTAATCAAGTATATCAAATATTTAAACATTTAGATAATTCTTATTACGCATAAGAAAATAAAAAAGATCTTAAAAGGACTTTAAAAACACAAAATAATTATGGTAGTGAAATATATTTTAACTTACTTCACGTAAAACACTTTACACGTTTTAAAACAACATTTAGTAAGCCCAAAACGAAAGAAATTTAAAAGTTTAACAAGATTTTTTTTAAATGTTCAAGGACTCACCAGCTTCATCTTTGTGTCCTTCTGAGACCGTAGTCTGCTCGATACTGTGACCACAAGGGGTCGCTCCACATTTTATAGGAAACATCCTGCGTCCGAACGCATGCACATTTTTGCGTATGTGCTGAGCGAAACAATGACCTCGGTCTTTGAGGCCGTATCTGATTAATAATTCGAATTAGGGAGAGTGTTTTCGGCTAACAGACAAGTAAAAGTATTTTTGTTTATCCCTGCAAGTGATTTTAATTCTTGAATTAAGTTATTTTAACAATATTGTTTTAATTCTTGAAAAAAAAACTATTTAGTAAATTTGTGGTAAGTAAGGTTATGTTTACCTCCTTATTTTATAAAATATGTAGTTAAATCTAAATATTTTTGGACTCATGAAATTTTATAACAAAGTTCACGATTAAAGGACTAAACGTATGTAATTTAAATTATGCAGGGTTATATTGTGTGATGATTTAAGACGGTGATATCCATGTTGGCTAAAGAGATTCTCGATTCTCCACAGTTTCCTTCCTAGACGAATTCCACGCAAGTGAAGCCTCGGAAATCAGTCGTACTTTAGTTTTATTAAAAGGGATAAATGTATTTAATTGAAACGTTGCAGAGAGGTCTTTCTTACATCTCTTTTACCTAGGTGAAAACTCTGCGCTAGCAAAAGCTACGATGCGGCCAAAAGCTTTAGCGACAAAGAAATATTTTCACATTTACGTTTATATGGTAAACGACTCGACGACGCCTCGTTGGTCTAGTGGTTGTAGTGGTGCGACTGCTGATCATGAGTTCCTGGGTTCAAATCCCGGGTCGGGACAAAAAATCAATTATTGAGTTTTTCGTCAAGAAATTCTCAGTAACTGCTCAGAGTCAGGAAGTTGGCGGTGTCTCACCCCCGTGCCTCGGAAGGCACGTAAAGCCGTTGGTCCTGCGCCTGATCTCTCTCCGGTCGTGTCGGTTTACCGTCCTATCGGATTATGAGAGTGAGGGAATAGAGAGAGCACCTATGCTTGCGCATACACTCGGGCACTATAATCATGTCCTGCGCCGATGGCTAACCTCCGTTGAGGCAGGCCGCTGTGGCCGAAATTCGGTCTGGAGGACATTATTATTATTATATGGAAAAGGTGTATTTTTATCTTAATCACCCCTTATGGGTCTACTGCTGGACATGAGCGTCTCCCATTTCAGAGAATCGTCGACAATCTTGTATCAGAAGTCTCGCAACTTTATCGCTGCTGCTGCCCTCGCTATATTAATCTATGGTCTAGATATTTTACGTCTGCCGAAAGGAAATGGCCATCTATCGGAATCTATAAAACATTCAAAACATTCATTCTCTATGAAGAAATAAAATATAAATTGTTCACAAAAAATAAGTAAATCCAGAATAAAAAAGATGCATCTTAGTGCGTCTTGTTTTTTCACCTTGAATCATCAAATTGGCTTGTGGTCAAACGGCTTAAAAATGAAAAACCTACGAATAAAAAATTAAATATTGTAAAATATATAAAATAAACGAAAAGCAGCTTCGTCAAATATTTTATGACGGTTTTATATCACCCTTCAGTTTTTTAGATAATCTTTGTAATTTTTAAATAGCCTTTATCGTGTTACGTTTCGAAGCGTCATTAGTGAACACCACACACGTTTAAAACCAAATACATAGCAAAATCAGAGCAATCTGTTGATTTTTGGTGGTCTGGGTTGTTTCATCATCATCATCATCATCATCATCATCATTATAGCCCTTTATAAGTCCACTACTGAAGATAGGCCTCCCCCAAGGAATGACTTAAAGCATGGTCCTGAACCACCTGCATCCATCGATTTCCTGCGTGTCTTACCAGGTCGTCACTTCATCTAGCATGGTGCCGCCCCTCACTTTGCCTATCCATACGAGTCTGTCACTCGAGAACTTTGCTTCGCCACTGTAGCCAGGAATAGCGGGGCCGCCGGGGACTGGACATCGTCTTTTTGTAATTCTCTTCATAGTATATGTGTAATTCTTGTCATGGTATTCCAATATATCCCATATTGCCATAGTTACCACTCGTAACCGTATTTTTTATTGTTAGTTTGCTGTTATCAGAAAGATGCTGCTGCCCATCTCCTGCCTGACTCCCTCTGTCGCCTCTTACGACACCCACGGGAAGATATGGGGTAGTGGGTATTCTGACCCGCCACTAGACGGGCTGTTTCATTTCTGGAGAGTTTAATGATATTTTTTTTTTGAAAAAATAAACTATATTACATTGTATATTTAAAAATATAAATGAATTTATATAATAATGATATAATTGTGAGTTTTTCTTGCGATATATTAAGATATTAATAGGGGTTATGCTTTCATTTAAGCATTATCTGTATTGTATAATATTTACCATCGATTTCTTATATTTACGCGAACACTGTACATTGATTAAAACTACTTTTACGGATTTTATCGCGTTTTATTTATATTAATGTTAATACCCGACGTTTCGGGTGCTTTCCAGCACCCATGGTCATGGGGGACTCCCCCCGTGGAAAATCCGTAAAAGTAGTTTTAATCAATTTACCATCGATTTGTGAAGTATAAAATATATATTCGAACAATGATTCTATTAATTTAAATATTAATTATATGTTTTAAATTTTAATGTCAATATGCTAAATTAAGTTTGCATTAGCGTTATTTAGTTAAACAATTAATATTTCTGATACGATGATGAACAGTACGTATGAATCAGACAACAGGTTTTTACCTTTGTAACGGTGTAAAAACATGAGCGCGCCAAGTTAGGTCGAGCTTTAGGGTGCGTTTCCACTGAAGCGGTGACGAGCCGCTACATTCCGCTGCCTATCAGTACAACTATTTATTGTTAGGGGAGAACATGTGACGATTATGTTGGCGTGCGAAACAAACAAGCGGCCCTGTGGCTATAGCTACTATAGATGCTATCAATATAGCTGTGCGGCATCCAACGAGTCGAATACTATACGATTCTTTATGCTGGACACGCCACCGAAAGCTCTCTATTCAGAAATTAGTGTAGGAATTGAATAACAAGTGGGATGGGCGAGGCGTTCGGCGTATTTCTAATATATATGCTTTGATATATATGCTTTAATTATGAATTATGAAGTATGTCTAAATGTATGTTTGTCACTGTACACTGTCCTGAGTGGTGACCACTCATAATGTGTGTCGAGCGCGCCGCTACACCGTACGCCGTGCCGTATGCTAACCGTGAGTTTGCACTGACGCGATTTTCACCAAAAAACATGTTTCAAACACTGTTTTCTGTCAATGTATCAAAGAGCGTTTGCCTAGTCAAAGAACCTGTTGTAGTGAAATATGTTTGACAGTTTATTGTACATTACATATTTTAACTATATTATATCTTTATAACTACAGAAACAAATCGTTTAAAAAAAATTGTAGAAATATTGTCATGTTGAAAGATAAGTTTGAATAAATGTTGAAAATTTTACACAGTTTTTGTGAGTACATGATTTGTTTCAAAACACTACATGTTGGATGTTTCTTAGTGCAAACGTACTGTAAGACCTGCAAGATCATATTGTTATGTGTATATCTTCACTTCGTTCCTTATCTTTAGTGCTGTATCTAATATATATCTTAGGCATTGAGATGGGTTCTGCAAATACTCAATTGTCTATTTCTGCACCTCTCGCTTCTCCCAGGTCGTCTTTGTTTCAGTGGAGACGCGGCCTAATGTCTTCAGTATTGTCACTTTGAATAGCCATACTAATACGATGCGCGATTAGGTATTAGTTTCGGCAGTTAATGAAGTTCCTTGTTAATACCCTGTTAATACCAAAAAAAGACAACTTCTCATAAATGGATTGAGGTGCAGCAATCGGGAACATGTGAGCAAACAAACAAACAAAGGAAATTAAAATTATCTAACGTTAACTTAATATATGCGGGAATCACTCTTAATCGGGTTTATTTTAAATGTTTATTCGGTGATCGTGTTTGCTGGTGGTTAAAGATGGCTGCATCCAATAGGTCCTGAGTTTGAATCTCCATTCATCCATTGAAGCCCACTACTGAACATAGATCTCTCCAATAGATTGCCTCAGGTTTTGTCACAGTTACCACGCTTGTTAGGCAGGTTGGCAATGGCAGTATTTTATAATTTTGAATTGTTATCAGGAATACGCTGCTATCGATTTACTGTTTCAGTTTCCCTCTGTCACCTCCTATGATTCCCATGGGACGATATTGAGTGGTGAATATCCTCACACCGCCATTACACAGGTTTGAGTCTAGGCTGGAGCCAACATTTTCGTGAAAACAAACTGTTGGTTTTACAACAGCAGTGCCATTGTGTAATTACAGTGGGAAACGCGGTTGATTCCGTTCTGATGTTTAACGTGTGATTTCGTTGTACCGTTTATCAGTATCCATTGATAAGCCTATGTTTTTTTAATGTTACACTTTTTATCACTTGCTTTTTTCGTATGTCTTTCCGGCCTAAAAGTTGTGATCAATTTTTGAAGCACTTACTGACATACGATTGAGCTGAAGTTTGGTACAAAATACTTATGCAATTTAATTTGTACTTTTAACTAAAAGTTGAATTATTCTAGCCTAGCCTTTGTTTTTTTTTTCAAATTATGCAAGCAGCTATGCAGGTCTGAAATCAGTATCACTGCGACCTGTAAAATCTATTGTGATCGCTGCTATGGCTATAGTTCACTGCTAAGAGTTGCTTAGCTGTGAGCAATATGACTTCTTCGCTTTGGTTAAAGATTCAATATATTTATATCGTATTAATCCATATATTTTGTAATAATAATAATAGAATCCACTATTAATTATTACCTCGTGGGTGTCGCAAAAGACCACAGGGGGGAACGAAACAGGTGATGAAAGCTGAGGAAAGTTCAGAATAACAGAAAACTGCGGTTGTTGAACTGTCTGATAAGCGAGACAGCTACATATATTGTATGTAGCAAATTGCTATCAATGGGAGATTCTTTCACCTAAGCAATTTCAT